CCCCCCCCCCCCCGGCAACCATCGGTTTGCTCTCTGTATTTATAGGTCTGATGCTCCTTTTTGTTTGTTCATTTGTTTTGTGTTTTTAGATTCCACATATGAGCAAAATCACATGGTATTTGTCTTTCTCAGTCTGACTTATTTCACTTAGCAGAAAACTATCCATGTCACAATCTCATCCTTTATGACTTCAGTTTTCACAACTATAAAGGGAAGGATTAGACTAGATAATCTTCACGTAGACTGTTTTATGGTATTATTTTTCTATTTTTTAAACTTTAATTATTTTTGAGAGAGAAAGACAAAGCGAGAGTGGGGGAGGGGCAGAGAGAGAGGGAGACACAGAATTGGAAGCAGGCTCCAGAATCTGAGCTGTCAGCACAGAGCCCCAGGTGGGGCTCAAACCCGTGAACCTCGAGATTATGACCTGAGCCAAAGTCGGATTCTCAACTGACTGAGCCACCCAGACGCCCCTATTTTTCTACTTTTAAGACTATATCTTATTTTGAGATAATTGTAGATTCACATGCAATTGTAAGAAATAATAAGAGAAAACCGGTGCAGTCACTGTGGAAAACAGTATGGAGGGTCCTCAAAAAGTTAAAAATAGAACTACCATATGATCCGTAATCACACTACTGGATACATACCCAAAGAATACAAGAACACTAATTCAAAGAGATACATGCCAGTAGATGTTTATAGTAGCATTATTTTTAATACCCAACATATGGAAACAGCCCAAGTATCCATCGATCAATGAATGGATAAAGAAGATGTAGTATATATACACAATGGAATATTACTGAGCCATAAAAATGAAATCTTGCCATTTGTTGCAACATGGATGGATCTAGAGAGTATAATACTAAGCGAAGTAAGTCAGAGAAAGACAAATGATTTCACTCACACGTGGAATTTGAGAAACAAGAGAAATGAGCAAAAGGAAATAAAAAGAGAGAGACCAACCAAGAAACAGACTCTTTTTAAAAATTTTATAATGTTTATTTACTTTTGAGAGAGAGACAGACAGAATGTGAGCAGGGGAGGGGCAGACAGAGAAGGAGGCGTAGACTCTGAAGCAGGCTCCAGGCCCTGAGCTGTCGTCACAGAGCTCCATGTGGGGCTCGAACTCACGAATCGCAAGATCATGACCTGAGCCGAAGTCAGATGTTTAACCAACTGAGCCACCCAGGCGCCCCTCCCCCCCAAAAAAAGACTCTTAGCCATAGAGAACAAACTGACGGTTACCAGAGGGGAGGTGGGTGGGGGATGGGGGAAGTAGGTGATGGGGACTAAGGAGGGCACTTGTGCTGAGCACCGGGTGATGTATGGAAGTGTTGAATCACTGAATTCTACACCTGAAACTAATATAACACTGTATGCTAACTGGAATTAAAATAAAAACTTACAATAAAAAAATAATACTGAGAGAGAGATGACACCAAAAGCACAGGCAACAGAAGCAAAAATAAACACGTGGGGCTACATCAAACTTAAAAACTTCTGTGCATCAAAGGACATAATCAGCAGAGTGAAAAGGCAAGCTATGGAATGGGGGAAATTCTTCAAATCATGTATCCGGTCATTTTTTGGTGTGCGTGTATGTGAGGGGGGTAGGTTTTCTGTTTTCTGCTATTCAGATTGGGTACTTTCTACTGTTCTCTTTCCCAGTTTACTGATCATTTCCTCTGCCCCCTCCATTCTGCTTTTGAGCTGTTCCATTGAGCTTTTTACTTTGGTTATTGGATTTTTCAGTTCTAAGATTTCC